GGTCGCCACATCAGCTGCAACGAAATTCATATGCGTCCAGTCATCCGCGTTTGTTAAGGCAGAGGCAACGCGCATTACCATCAACTCTGGCGATCAATTTTAGTCTCCTCAAATGGGGTTCAGCTCTCACAATCTATAAATAGCTCAGAAGGAAGAATAATTCACACGATAAGTAAAACTTCCATCTCTGAGGAGTCATCACTCGAGAAGTCAGTCAACATACATGTGATCACGTGATAGTCATGTGATTCCGTGATTGAAAAATAAGTGGAGCTATTTCCTGTTTTCATGTGAGTCAAACACAGTGTTGATGAGCCACTCACGGCCGAAAGGTTTAGTCTAAAACTGCTGGCCGGGAGGTCACGAGTTCTAAACTCCCTGGAGTTTCGTGAGATGCTGATGGTTTCCAAACAAGGATGAAGCAGTCGTCTAAATGTTTAAGTGAACATTGGTTTCAATCGAAAGATGGAATCTTCATTAGAAATTCCCAAATCCCCTTCAGCCAAAGAACGGCAGCTTATTTCTGAACGAATAGGTCAGAATGACTTTTAATGAAGAATTTATTGATATTTTCCATTAAGTAGATGAATTATGGCCGTCAAATTCAGAGGAACCTGTTCGACAACGGTGGGGAACAATGAGGCTACCGTATGAGGATTGAAGAGGCTACCCTGGCGTGCCCCAAAAAGAATTCGGCCATACAGTGGAGGGCTACTATTTACACCCCCCGTAGTCGTCTATCCTAGGTATTATTCTGCTTGTTTTGTCATGTGGTATCCAATACGACAGCGAAGCGTTAGTGCTAGGTACTGACGTCATGCTGTCGATGATGATGAGGAGGAGGAGGAAGAGGAGGAGGATGATTGCTCACTGTACTTGTGGTTGTACGGCTTTGAGGCACCCACAGTGAGCTATCCTGATGAACCCCGCGCGGGATAGACAGGACCACGTGTCTAAAATGAACCATATAAGGACACTTTCCCTGTATAGATTCGACATAGTAGAACCGGAGGAAAAACAAGACGAGAAGTACTAAAAATCGTCAGCACGCCCAACTGGCCCTCTTAACAAACGAGCTTCTCTACTTTGGTGAACAGAAGAAGCTGACGGCATCAACTGCCAGTTCCTCCGCCACTCCTCGAGGTTTATCATGCACAAGTGCAAGGATCAGTCGAAAACACGGGGATCCGATTGCGGCGGAGAGATTCTCCATCAACACGTCCAACTTTATAAACATGTCTAACAGTCCATTATTCGAACTGGACACCAGTACAGAGAACGCCACTTACACAGTGACTCTCAAATAGGGCTGGATGAGAGCGCATGTTTTGTGCCTTTGACTGTTACAGCGTCACGGCTAAGCTGTGATCAAAATGCCAACTATGGCCGTTTCACAGGAGACTGTGGTGTAACTAGATCTGGTAACTTTGAACTAAGATTTCAGCGTGTCAGAGAGACCAATCGATGCGGAAATTCAGAGAAACATGCATCTCACGAACTTCTGGCCAGAGGTTGAACACTTTACGACTTTCCAGCCTCGCTGATCTGATGAAATCTCAACTTAAACTATTTCAGAGTCATTTGACGTTGGTTGACGCGCGCCTTGCGTACACATGATGCCTTGGGGCGTTAAAGAACCCAATCAAGTTGGACTACAATGAAGCTGTGCTTCCCTGGCCGAAGTCAGACACTGATTCATGTACTATACTGACCCCAAACGCCGCCATTTGGTTGTCAGATGATGAGAGTGGACGGTACAGTGAGATTTCTAACAGAATGTGTTTGCGCGATTCTGCAGTTATCGACTGTTGACTAGGTATTGCCGTTATACATACAATAGTGCCCATGATGAATACCTTCATACCATACGTTATCGCATAGATTGCAAGTGAAAAGTTGGTATCAATCATCCACTGTTACTTGTTTTTGCATCCGACTTGATCAGTTCATGAACGCTGGTTCCAAATTCACCATCAGTGGCAGTTTATGAGTGAACTGTGCATTCAGAGAAACAGCACACGTTAGTCCGCTGCAACATGAAGGAATTGATGCGGGGCGCCGGTGCGTCGATGACAGACTGATGCAGGTGTCTATCGTCCCGTCACTGTGCTTGCCCCAGCTTGCGACAGGCTGGGGCGCGCGTTCGCCCACAGATCCGATTCCTTCGGTTGTACATCCGCGCCAAAGGTTGGTATGCAGCACTGCATCGGGCCAAGAGCAACCCGTCTGTGACTCTCCCACAACGCACCTACGTCGAGTGTTTTAACCCTTGCTAACCGACAAACCTTACTCGGAACGAAATCGTGCACACCTCTCATATGATATATATATATATATATATATATATATATATATAGTAACATCATATGAAAGGTATGAAAAATGCGCACGTGCAACTCATCCTTCCGCCTAATTGTGATGAAGAGTAACTTCCTGATGTCCGGATGTACGAGTCTTACCAAAATTCAATGAAACACTCCACGAAGTGTCTTGTGAGCGCTCGTCTCGCCTGTGTACAGCTTCTGCATGCGGACTCCCATCAGGGGAGATGTTTCGAAGCACTCCTGTTGTCAAAGTTTCAACAACAAGGCAATCTGCGGTGGCTCTTGTCAAGTCTGGGCGTATTGTTCCTGGTGACCGAGTCTGTAAGTTTCATAAAGGAAACTACTCATAAGATTGATAAAAATTCCTCGACAGCCCACGACCAATTTTGCCTTTCTTGGGGCTCATTAGGTAGGCGCAGTCCCAGAGTTTCCGTCACCCTTTATCCCACTTCAGTTGTAGAATATCATAAACGAGAGATTCAGTTGAGTCTCTCCTGAAAACAAAATTGATTTGCGAATGAGCGTATTTCTGGAGCTTGTAAGTTGTTCGGATGGATCCGACTGACCGAAAAAGAACAAAAATTAAATGGAGCCTCAGCACTTCTCTCAGAACCAGTGGGAGTCAAACAAGTACTGGAAGAAGGTGCTTTTCGCTGCGATTGAAACAAAACTTGTCGCTGTCCAAAATTGGGACATTGGGTCGATTATTAGATCACAATTTGAGATGGAGAGACGGCGCGGTAGATATCGCACAGAGGCCGTGTTTATTTGGCGAAATACACTCATTTGCAAGCAAATTTGGTTTTGCGGGAGACTCACTCAGCTGAATCTCTCGTTTATGTTGTTTCTGAGCGTCTGTCTGACGAAACCCAAGAAGGGCGAAACCAGTCGTGGGTTGTCGAAGGGTTTTCAGCAACCTTATGAGTAGTGTATTACGTCCATCCGTATTTATTTCACTTAGTATTGCAACGATTTTACTAAAGACAACGGTAAAACTCAAAATCGCCAGTTCATTAAATTATCGCATTAAGTAAGGCTACCAGTCCTGTCCTGACAAAAAGTGGGAGTGATTTTGAAAAATCCTTGAGTTGGACAAGCACCACCAGTCCGATACGCACATCCAATACTAACTGTTTTGCCATCGAGTTTCCGTGATTTCATACCGTCTGTAGTTTATCTCAAACGGTTTATCTAAACAGAAGGTCCTGGTTGAATGTGATACTACTGATGAGAGAGGCTTGCGAGTAGTGTGTTTTCTTCTTGTAAATTCGCTTTGCGTCCCTTGAAAAGGGAGATCTGTTGCGGAATTTGTGGAATCGCTTTGTAGCATTTGCTTGGATTTGAGCAACAGTCAATGAATATCCAGGAAAGTTCCGGAAGACGCGTTCAAGAGAAGATGGATGTTCAGTTTTTGTAAATAAGATGCAAATGAGAATTTTGCTTCCCTGTCCAATAGTCTGTAACTGGTCAGTTGGCATTTTCTTATGACTAACTCCGCAGCGAAGGCCTTCTTCCCTTCACTGGTAGTCCAAGCGTTATCCACTCGTTCATGCAGTCTCGCAATAGACTAAGTATGCCTATGGCGCCCACACTCTTGTCATGTTATACCAGGTTTTAATGAACGTAAGGATATCTTTGGGATCATCTTGTAAACGCTCTTTTGTCTCTCCTAATCTGGTAACATCTGCATTGGATTTCACCGGGTCAAGCCGTTTGAGAGGCTTCGGATATGAGGCGATCCACTCCTAGATATGTTTCCAGCATTTCCGAAATCCCCATTCGCCGCTTGATATGATCAGAATACCATCAGGGTTGTATCGCTTTGGCAGCCAGTGTGCTGTGGTTGGTTGCATTCGCCGTTCGCTGGGAGTTTTGCACGACGTCCTCCCGTTGTCTTGTTCACCAGGCTGTCTGGCTGTTTGGGCTAGTGATCTGACAGCAAGCTGCGCAGCCAATCACAGCGCTAGGCTAGTCAAACGCATACGGCCGCACGCTCTGGGCCTGATGTGTTTGTGTTGTAGTGCTGTGGCGCGCGTCTACCCACACCCACACACCCACACACATCCATCCCATTGTGCTGATTTCCGGGTAGGGTTTACAGGCATGGACGCGTCGGACCAGAAGGGAGAAAAACGACGTTTTGGGTACGAAACGAAAGTTCAGCCGTTTTTTCTCCATTCACGCCTCTGTCTCGGCGGGGGTATCGGAAATACTGGCGATTGCTCCGGCACACATGCAGATGCGACCGAGCGCATACGCCTTTCTCACAGCTTTGTTTAGTTGAATTTTCAGGTCACAGAACCCACCGGGGTTGACCATTATATACATACTATTTGATATTTATGCTAAATAGTAACATATCAGCGACTAGCAATTCACGCGTTGATTATCTTCTCACGAGTACACACGCACACACACATATACGCGCGCACACAAGCGCGCAATACATGGACCATACACAAACGCAGACTGGCAGAAATCACACACGAACGCACGCACGCACTACCAGTGTCTCTACAACGGAATTACTACAACGTTATTACAACGACTACGCACATATGACTTTCCGCATTTTATGAAATGTTTTTCAGCACGCCACAGGAAACAAACAGCGTTGCAATTTAATTCTGTGCGTCTGTGTTGACTCCACCGACAACGACTGACAACCAGTGGACTATGACAGCAGTGGTCGACGACGGCGGATTTAGAGTAGACTCTTCTTCCACTGCTACCGCCGGTTCGGATTCCTCTAATCCATCAGTTAATTTGTTAAAACGTGGCTCAAACGAGTCGAATGATTTTTCATCCTCGCAGGGATGTTTGATTGTCAATCAAACCGGTTCACCTGACTGTGCGAAACGTTCACGTGACATTGATGATCAAGAAGTGTTGGACTTAACGATCAATTCCTCACTAGGACCAGTGAACGGATCCAAGCCATCGTCAGCTCACGATCCTGACACAACCGGTGTGTTGTTCTACTCGAAATCCCCGTCAAGTACACCAAGCCCTCAATCTTCGAGTTCTTCGCAAACGAACTTTACTTCGTTTGTGATGGGAAAGGGAATGGACCAAACACAGCAGTCCACATGGTGCACTACTCCGCAACCTGCACACACAGCAAAGTTGTGTAGTCCAGTGCCGATACCGCAGGGTAACCTGTTCCCCACCTCCTGCCTTGCTCCAGTCGACTTCAATGCACTTATGCAACATCATATGGGAGTTAATGCAGCGGCGGTTGCGGCCGCAGCTGCCTCTCTTAATCTGTTCGGAGCAACCCCTTGGGCGAGTAAGTCATTTCACTTGATTCCCGAATAGTTTTGGAAGGCCACCCATTTTGTTATTTGTTTGTTCAAACTCTGATTCGGAAATGTCACTGTTCGATAACATGGCGTTAGGCGTGTTTGATTGGCCCGCCAGAACCAAAGATCTGGCGAGGCAAGTCTGACAAAAAGATCTTTTCCACTGATCTTTTCCACTGGACAAATGTATGAAACCTGTGAAAAACCATTACTGGAAGATTGCGTGACCTCTGTTGACCGATTCTTTAGACAACCATAAGGTGTACGCGCATTTGTATAACCACTGTGATATCTGTACCCTCCCAGTCGGACCGGTAGCATCTGTCTGTAGTGGTACGTGATGAAACCCTCCAGCGTCGTTCCGCACCTGCAAAATAGACAAAATGAAAGACAGATAGATGGGTTTTTAAACGACCTCAGCCTATTCTTGTTCACCTACACAGTATCCACTTATCTATTTTGTTGATGGAGACAACAGGCACACCACTCACCTTGTATGTGGCAAATACAACAGATACCGAAAGAAATCTAGACTAGCTCGAAAGTTGTTCGAACAGCGCGCAGCTCAACTGCGATCCGAAGGAAAGCTACTACTGAGGATTACATAACGTAGTCTCAAGGAGGGGTCATTTGCGTTGGACAACAGCACATCAATGTGCCTTGCGCCGTGTGACGTGTGTGAGATCCACTGTTGTGCAGTTGCAGAAACTTTACATATCTACCTAAAATCATGTGACTTTCTTTTGACGCGCCGTTTCCGAGCCGGCCTCTGTAGATCACTTTCACTTCGTTGCACTTGTGAGTATTTGGTGTGATCACTTGTTGTGAGTAGCACTTACCCACCGTTCAGGGACTAGAATTAAGAATGCGACCGAATATCACATGAAGGATGTTCATCTGATTCTCTTTTATGTGCCGGTATAGAAAAACTCCACTTGTTCATCCAAATAGCCAGGGTTCCAAGGTGTGGAGTTTCCGTGCACCGCCCAAAGTGGGATTAACCGAGATGGAATTGGTGGCGATCCCATCCCTATCTCAAGGATGAGTTGTGCATAGGCTGGGGTCAACATGCCGCGGATGGCCGGGGTCCCAAAAGTCAGGTGTGTACTATAGGCCTCGATTAGCATGCACATGTCATCACCTATTAAGCTTAGTTAAAAATAAACCGGAGACAGAGCGTCGCGCGTTAGCTCCGGCCTCAACAGCTGGGGATGAGACACGAAAACATACTCTAAACTGACAGTCTAACCCCCCTGGGGGTCCGGCTTGAGGGATGACTAGTGTTCACTCGGTGGGACCTTTCACAATACAAAATTGTACCGTCGCGCTACCAAATCTGGATTCATCCACCTACGCGATTCACAGATTGAATGACAGCTTTACACCGAATCGAAATACCCCACTACCTGGTAAAGTAACGCCACTTTGAGATAGGTCTTTTGGCATCGTGAAGCTGTGCTTACCGCTTCTTATCTGGTTTACGTCTGCATGGCAGTGAAGCGTCAGTGTCGACACTGATGTTGCTGTCCTTGATGATGATGATGATGTCTGGCTTGACAAAAGATCTCCAGTTTCTTAATGTGAGGTATTAACGGCATACCATTCCTCACAAACAGTGGTTTCTTGACCATGTGCCAGGCTCACCGTTGCTGCCCAGAGAGATGTAAAACGAAGGCAACCATGCAAAAGGTATCTACAAGTTTAGTTTGTACAGTTCTTCCAGATACCTTCATGGTGGTTCTACCTTCAATTGGATAGGGGCGTTCCAAGCTGTCAATGATACTGGCGATGTTCACGTGTGTATCTACGTTTGAACTTGCCAGTACCTTAGAACAACCATGATAGACTGGTACCAATGCGCCTTTCGTCCTTCCACCCTAGGTTTTTTACCCAAGCTTATAGTAAAAATCGATTCTAGGTGGTCGTGCACTTTCGAAATTCAAATGGTCTGTTCCGAAAACCATCTCAAGGTAGCCATCACCACTTCTTGTAAAGGAAGAAACTGAGATCAGCCGAAGACGGCTGTGACCCGGGCCGATGCCTTCTCATCATACTACTTATTCCGTATACAGTCGTGACCTCTGAATAGTACACATTTCAGGGCGTCGAGTCAGATCACAGGTTCCCATTTTCTTCGTTGTCAGAGGCAACAAAACCTCGGAGAAGCCGGTGCTGGAGAGGGTCAATCGAGGGTTAATTGTGACGCGAGCGACGTCAAAGAAGATGGCCTCGTCCATAACCAGTCTTGTGCACTCAGAGAAGAAACTTGCTGAGGATATCTGCTAGTAATTCATAATGGCGACTTCACAACGAAGGCGCAGACGAACAAACAGAGGAATGTTTCCTCAGATCCAGAAAAGCTCGGCCAGAAGACCGATTTACTCTTTACTAAAACTAATCATTTGAACACAAAGTGATCAGCCATTTGCTTAACAGACTCAGATCGTTGGTTTTCGATTACCTGTACAGATCAGAGCAACGTGTGCCACAGTTTGTAAGCTTTCTGGGTGACTACGCATTGGCATTTTTTTGATGGCTCTCGTGAAGGTGGTTGTCCGCTGGTGGGGGGGGGCTTTGTAGAGAAGGACAGTGCTGTGATACTTCCTGAGAGCAAACACTTTCGAGAACCAAAAGTGCTTATATGACACAGTCACCTGGAAAGAGGAACGAAGGCCTGTGATACTTCCTGAGAGCAAACACTTTCGAGAACCAAAAGTGCTTATATGACACAGTCACCTGGAAAGAGGAACGAAGGTAGTAAACAAAACTTGTTTTTTTTTGCGTGCGGTCGTTCCTTGGTCACAAATTTATTGGATAGGTTATGTGAAACTGAAGTATCTTAATGGAAGAAAACAAAAAAATAAGGGGGTAGGGTTTGAATGAGACATACACACGGGTCAAAGGGTCATGGAGTCAATCGAGTGCATATCAGTGCCAGACAATTTTGTGGGACCGGATTTTTGCAGACCAGGAGTCACACAAGTTTCTTCTGGACGCATTGTTGTCGGCCCGGAATCCAATCGCCCCTCTCGGTGGTCTGAGCAGTGGTCGGTTCAGAGGTACCCGGTCTTTGCCAGTGACATGACTGGTTTCGGACAAATGTGACGCCATTGCACCTGATCCCGGTTTCTTCCGAGTACCACTCAGAAACACGGGACTGCGTCCGGACCTTCTCTCTGACAAACGCCTTATCGTAAGACTGACTGTGGGAAAAATCTCCCGGTGATATTTTGACTCCATTTCAATGTCTCTTTTCATGGCGGTCGGTGAAAAACTAACTCCAGAAACCTCCTTTTTTCTCCTGTCCCAGTTAGAGTTCATGTGTAAATTGTTTCGAACTCGACCTGTCTGTTGCACCTTTCCCCCAAAATGACTGAAGCCGAGGGATGAGAAATCCACCAGCCGACTGGTAGCTTTGTCATTGACGTCACGGATGATAATATGCGATATATCACAAAAACGTATCAGCGTGGTTCTCCGAAGGTCATTCCTAGAATGTACTACTTTCTGTTGGCCCACCAACAGACTATTTTCCGGAAAAGGAAATATTTCTCGAGATTTAGTACTTAGCCTCGAAGATAAAAAACTAACACAAAAACGTACAGCGTGGTTCTCCGAAGGTCATTCCTAGAATGTACTACTTTCTGTTGGCCCACCAACAGACTATTTTCCGGAAAAGGAAATATTTCTCGAGATTTAGTACTTAGCCTCGAAGATAAAAAACTAACATGGATTCATTAGGCTGAGTAGAAACCTGCATGTGTGCGTTATTGATTCTATGTAATTTTTCACCAAGTTTCTCACGATTATTGATCGACCCTTTTAGGTAGCCGCGTACGTCTAAAGTCTACCGATGCGTGTGTGTTCTGAATTTCTAATCATTTTGTGCAATGCGTGAAAACTAAAATAAAGACCACAAAATGCATAAGGTGTGTGTGTGTGTGNAACTAATCATTTGAACACAAAGTGATCAGCCATTTGCTTAACAGACTCAGATCGTTGGTTTTCGATTACCTGTACAGATCAGAGCAACGTGTGCCACAGTTTGTAAGCTTTCTGGGTGACTACGCATTGGCATTTTTTTGATGGCTCTCGTGAAGGTGGTTGTCCGCTGGTGGGGGGGGGCTTTGTAGAGAAGGACAGTGCTGTGATACTTCCTGAGAGCAAACACTTTCGAGAACCAAAAGTGCTTATATGACACAGTCACCTGGAAAGAGGAACGAAGGTAGTAAACAAAACTTGTTTTTTTGCGTGCGGTCGTTCCTTGGTCACAAATTTATTGGATAGGTTATGTGAAACTGAAGTATCTTAATGGAAGAAAACAAAAAAATAAGGGGGTAGGGTTTGAATGAGACATACACACGGGTCAAAGGGTCATGGAGTCAATCGAGTGCATATCAGTGCCAGACAATTTTGTGGGACCGGATTTTTGCAGACCAGGAGTCACACAAGTTTCTTCTGGACGCATTGTTGTCGGCCCGGAATCCAATCGCCCCTCTCGGTGGTCTGAGCAGTGGTCGGTTCAGAGGTACCCGGTCTTTGCCAGTGACATGACTGGTTTCGGACAAATGTGACGCCATTGCACCTGATCCCGGTTTCTTCCGAGTACCACTCAGAAACACGGGACTGCGTCCGGACCTTCTCTCTGACAAACGCCTTATCGTAAGACTGACTGTGGGAAAAATCCCCCGGTGATATTTTGACTCCATTTCAATGTCTCTTTTCATGGCGGTCGGTGAAAAACTAACTCCAGAAACCTCCTTTTTTCTCCTGTCCCAGTTAGAGTTCATGTGTAAATTGTTTCGAACTCGACCTGTCTGTTGCACCTTTCCCCCAAAATGACTGAAGCCGAGGGATGAGAAATCCACCAGCCGACTGGTAGCTTTGTCATTGACGATTGCGATATATCACAAAAACGTATCAGCGTGGTTCTCCGAAGGTCATTCCTAGAATGTACTACTTTCTGTTGGCCCACCAACAGACTATTTTCCGGAAAAGGAAATATTTCTCGAGATTTAGTACTTAGCCTCGAAGATAAAAAACTAACATGGATTCATTAGGCTGAGTAGAAACCTGCATGTGTGCGTTATTGATTCTATGTAATTTTTCACCAAGTTTCTCACGATTATTGATCGACCCTTTTAGGTAGCCGCGTACGTCTAAAGTCTACCGATGCGTGTGTGTTCTGAATTTCTAATCATTTTGTGCAATGCGTGAAAACTAAAATAAAGACCACAAAATGCATAAGGTGTGTGTGTGTGCGTATTTTTGTGTATTTTTTGTGATACCAAGTTTATGTTTCAGGCGATGACCGTCCGTTAAAAGCAACCTTTGTGCTGGGGAGTGCATCCGTCTGAGAGAGAATCCGAAAGTGAGTGGCTATCACCCTGGGCCACGACAAGTTCACTGGCTCAAGAGATCTAAGGATTTCCCTGAGTTTCCGCCATCCCATAAACGTCGCCATCATCATCATCATCATCATCGTCATCATCATCATCATCGTCATCATCATCATCATCGTCATCATCATCATCATCGCCATCATCATTGTCATCATCATCATCGTGGTCATCATCATTATCACTATCATCATCATCAGCATCATCATCCTGCTCATCGTCGTCATCGCCATCATCATCATCATCATCATCATCATTCACTGCCGTTTAATCATCATTATCATCCTGCTCCCCATCATCATCACCATCATCATCATCATCATCATCATCATCATCATCATCATCATCATCATCCGAATCATCATCATCATCATCGTCATCAGCTGCAGCAGCAACCGCAACACGAAGTATAAAACTTGCATAAGTCGTGCAGGGAAGATTCGTTAGAAGAGAGCTGGGCGTTGGTTGGCACAACTTAAGTGCATAATCTATCTATGACGCTGTGAAGTTGTTGACCTCTTTGCCGAACTTGGTAACATTAACATTTCGTCACCGTCCTTAGTCAACGAACAATGAATCCTGTATTCCGGTATTCAGCGACATCATTCTTTACTGTTCAGCGTTTGTCCCTTTACTGCGACGGTCAATACCGATTTGCACGTTGAAGGCAGTTGCTTACGAACAGAAACTGGTGGGCTGCGCCACCGGGTCTTGTCTGGCAACTTGTCCATTCATTTTTGTGGATTCTCTACTCAGCTAGACGGCCTTTGTCAACATGGCCAGATCTGACCTCTTTCGAACCGTTTATACCCTGTTTGTGGCTGGTCTATACAAGTCCAGTGCTGTGGCACTTGGACCGGGTGACCAGCTCATCATACCAGAAATAAATCAGCTGATCTCAGCAGTACCGGACAGGCGCTCCTTACACGGTGGGCACCTCTTGTGAGGCACTGACACTTGTGATATGACTGGAAAGGCGATTAACTGCCTGTTCCTGGCTACTTTTCTTCTGTTCACTGACAGGTCTAAAACGGAGTTTTTTTTTAAAATTTCGTAAAACTCCCGTTAATCTGGTCAAATCCATGGGTCTTCATTTCACTGAAAATAGGTCTTCCGTGTTGATGAAATTTTGTGTAGTGCCGGTGGGTTCTCTCTACCGCATGAGCTCCACTTACCAGGGAATCGAAAATCTTTTTTCGTACAGAAACATTTGTTGTATCGGTGTTCCTCTGGAAAAGTCCATCGGGGTTTAAAAAGATCCGGACAGCTGTGCATTTCTAAGTCTTGTTGTCCTCGGTACAATTTTCATCTGCTTCGAGGAGGTGATTGCCGTAATATATCGAAAATAACCCAAGTTGATACCACATGGAACACTGGTCTGATCTAAGCCTCTTCCACTTGGGTTTGTGTTGCGCGAAACGGTGTCAGTAAGATTCTGCTCTGACGGATGAATTGATTGGATCTTCTCATCGCACCGCATGTGTTGTGTGCCCACCAATTTCAGATGGCTGTACCTTGTCGGAAGATTCCGCCCAAAATCTGATCGATATGCAACCACCAACCATCGATTGAAATCAATACATTATTGCCTGTGCCGTTTTGCAGTGATTAAGATGGCAGACTCCCCCCCAACTTCGCATAGTGTTGATTTCATTATTGTGACAAGGGGATGGCGGCTGGGAGTTCTGTTTGCCGGGGGTGGGGGGTATTGCGTGCAAACGGATTCTGAACAATACTCGATTGTTCTGACCCAGTTGAGAACTGGATTAGTACACTCATTCATCAACAGACTGGTTTGCACTATGAAGTCTCTTCACCACTTACAAATAATTCATACGAACGAGAATAAAATGCGGGTTGGAATGATACGACCTTACGACTCAGCTGCTCCGTGTGTTTGTGTGTGTTTAATCTATGGTTTAATTCATTTTGGTGTGTTACTATGGCAACAGGCCTTGCACACTCGATGCATATGACCGGAAATGGAGTGGTTTTCCTGACTCAGCGCTCAAGCCTTCTCATAAGCCCAACAGCAAAACCGCCAGATCCAGCGCACTCATCCGAGACGGCTGGGGGTGAGGAAAGCGGTATCAGTAGGGCAGGGGGAGAACAGACAAGCGTCAGATCTGCACTGGTAACCAAGACAACGGGAAAAACCAAATATCAGTTTGATTACCGGAAAAAATGTCGTTCGACCCATTCATCCATAGGTTTCATTCAGTTGACTGAGCTTGGGTGTCGCCAAACCTCGCCACAGTGAAGGTGATCTCCCAAACTACTCCCTGTGTAGCACACGTCTGAAAACTGTTGTGAATTTGATGGGCTTGGGCTTACCAAATTTAGTCGCTTTTCCGTTAAAAGTGTTCAGAGAACGCAGTCTAGAAGCGGAGCCGTTGAACTACTACGCATTGAGTCAACTAACTCAGCCCAACGGTGCACTGTGTCAGTTACGTGGAGCGATATATCTATTGGATTGATTTTTCCTCTTCATTTAGTTGACCAAAGGGTGTATGCAGCGTATGTGTCCAATAACGTTTTTTTTCAAAATCTATTCGACCGGATCTTTCGCACATGCACTGCTGATATTGCGTGCTTTTAGGCAGATTTTAACACAATCCAGTTTGAACATAAGCAGCCGCACTTTGGTATTGATTAACTTATGCGCTGGTCTGCAGGGCGATCGATAGCATGCGCTCGACGGCTTAGCTGAATCGAACCCTCCCTCTCCCGCACAGTTATTCGGTCAGAGTGATTTCTGTTCACTTTCAAACTGAAGGTCCTGTCGATTCGCTATCGACTGCACTACAACCAGTTGGTTTGAACTTAGAACACTTTAATGAAAAGTAAATATGAAGGCCTCACTTAGGCACTCTGAACTGTCAAAGCGAGAGGATAAAATCCAGCTGACATCTACATTTGGTGCAAAAGACTCGCACCTACCTGAAACTACGAACTATGATGGTCTCTCTAAGATGGCCCTTTCCACATGAGCTCATTCAAGGACCTCATCGTTGTGACATCATCGAGCAGCTGAAATTGCCTAAAGCATTTCATGCTCGCAGTCTATGCGGAGGAAACCACTGTATTCCGACGGCTTTTGCAAATAACTGTACTTCACCACAAGTTCAAAATTCAATTAACTTTCACAAACACGATAGCAATTAAAACCATTATCGATTATTCTACTTTTTTCTCTCTTAAGCCAACTTGTAGACGTATAACAGCACAATTTCATGCTACACGTCTAATCATAAAACATGTATTTGTTTCCAATTGTTTGTCGACCTGTCTGTCGTTCTTATATTACAGTTGTTGAGGCACACAGGCGTGCGTGTGCGCGCGCTTAGAACCTGTGGCACAAGGAGGACATTCCAAAAATGACTGCGGAAACCTTTTTTGACAAAAAAACCGCCACTCTTACTATTTTACTTGGTGCGAGAGAATGCAATGTCTCAAATGTTTACTCGGCATCTCGGTTTCAAAAGGAAGTCTCGTGCATACCATGGTGAACATGTGTGGCGTCTGTGTTTGGGGGTGTGTGGCCCATTTAATGCGTTTGGCGCATTGCTCATGTGGACGAGTGGGGCGAGGGTTGTCACGTCGACCAGACCCACATTTTTGCACAGTTCCTGGGTCGAACACAAGACGAACGCCTGTGGCATAGAAAACAACAGTTAATTAGAGAAATACACTCATTTGCAAATTAATTTGGTTTTCACGAGAGACTCAACTGAATCTCTCGTTTATGATATTCAAGTAAACATAAAGTTGACGGAAACTCGGGGACTGCGCCTAACTGATGAGCCCCAAGAAGGGCTAAAACGGTCGTGTGCTGTCGAAGAGTTTTCAGCAACCTTGTGAGTAGTTCCCCTAATGAAAACAGTTAATTAGCTTTGACCGACTTTATTCGGATAGCCATGAGCCAGTAAACAGCTCGCGGGCAGGATAAATCTACTTGATGTGTGAAACTTCCTTCTGAGTAGTCGTTACTCGATGAGTCAGTGACCACTTGATTGGAGAATTGTAGCACTCTGCCCCTCTGATTGAGAGCTAATCACACTGTTGACCAGCCACTCGTGGCCAAACGGTTAAATGTTCAATCACTGGCCAATAGGTTGCGGGCTCGAGACTCCCTACTGGAGTTTCGTGAGATGCGCATTGTTGATGAAACAGCTACAAAGGACTTCTTGGTTTTTCAGCATAGACTGATTTCACTGACAGGATGAAACCACTATTGAAAGGCATTCTGGGAAGTTTCGGTCTAATCGAACGGGTGGTTTTACACAACAATGAAGTGCACTGGAAAACTCCGAACTGGAGTCGTCCCACTACATGACCTTATTTATTGATTGATTGTTGCCGTGGTTTTCAACCACAGATCAGAGTAAAGCAGCAACAACAACATGCGTACACGTGGTACACCTGTCAATCACTGGTCTGATAATTACGCGTCAATAAGCTGAACAAGACGGGCATTATGTTGAACCCTTAGTCCACACGGAGTTTTATGGGGAGGGGTGGTTCTGATTAACAGAACGCACCTGCCAACTACCCCGCATCCGGTATGACCGTTGCCATACCCCATACCTCTTGGTTCCGCCCGTACCTTTCCACTCCTCAAAATAATTCAGGTGGTCCCAATTATTTGTTTCGCTTTTCCTTTGTGTGTGCATTGCCATAACACAGGCAGGCATACACTGACAGGAGGACTGGCCACTCATCCACCGGGTGTACGCGACACTGCCTCGTACATCATAGCTGTTGTAAAGTACCGCTCTCCAAGGGTAGGCGCACGATCACGTGATGCATGAGCCAGCCGCATGTCGACAGACCAGCCGCCTGTGGTCTGCATAATGGAGACACGAAGACGGAAACCATTGCATGCCTACCTGCCTCTAACCCATGTTCATTCACTCCAATTCATGAATATCACTCATTGAATTATTCACTGTCATGAATGTTTTCAAGAATGACCCATTCGGACAGACCATCTCTTAACCTACTATGGACGTCATTGATAAGCTTCGTGTCTGGTTGTGTGACCGGCCAACGAAAAAAAAAACAGATTTTAACACGAAATGCGTGTTATCAAGCGAGTGAACACGTCACATAGTAGAATGAACAAAAGAAACGCGGGTTCACGAAGAATCGTGTGCTTTAAGACCGATTATGCCACGAATTGTTGTTATCACACCGTGACACAAAGCCTCCCCCCCCCATAAGCGTGTGCGCGCGCTAGCGTCGACTTTGTGCGTGAGTTGGCCTGTCGATAGAAGAGCTGGGTTGGAATGATGACACGGCTGTCTTATCAGTAAATCAAACGTATGCATGAATCAAGATTTTAACCACATTACGGTGATCTGTGTCTACAGAGGGCGTGGAGTTTGTGATATGAATGAGAACTTGGACGTTTTCTGACCGGACTTTTGAGTGTCATGACCCGTTCGGCCTTTCACATCGATGACTAGGTTTGTAGTAAGCTACCCCCTTCCTGTTCAAAGTCGCTAGACAAGAAAATACTTTCTAAACAGCGCGTATGATCAGGTAATCGAAGGCTATTCCTATGTCTCCAGGTTTATGCAACAAATGGGTTGATATATCGTGGGTTAGAGTCGACAAAAAACTTTTTCGAGTCCACATTTAGGTGTTCTGCTGGCAAGACTTGTGGAGAACTGTTTTTCGAGAACTTTCTGTGGAGTTGCCAATGGAAGGGGACAACGTGGAGCTAACCTCTGTGGTATTTCTTATGTCGACCAGTGTGGTATCTCCCAAATGGGCTATGCTCGACCCATGTACCCCCCCCCC